TTCATGAGAGCTTGGTTTTTCTAACAAGAACAGGGAAAACATGACGGCACAACATATAACATGGAGTCAGAAGCCCTTATACAGTATGTGGTGCATGAGGGTTCAAACACTTTATGCATAAAATATGTTGTAAATACAGCGACAAACTGAATCATCTCCTCATAGTTATGCAATAACAATGTCTGGGCTTCCAACTTGCACATTTGGAGGCTTTTCTTTGACGGGTAGCTGTGGTTGATGCATGTCCCACGATGAAGAAGCTCTGCAGTTGGCCTGCTAGCGTCAGCACAAAGCAGGCGCTAGGTTTAGATCCCATGCAGAATGAATGGGTGGTTTATCGATTGTCCCACTGTAAAAACAGGATACAATGGCGCTGACACGGGGATTTGAACAGACCTGAGAATCTGCTGAAGAAGCTGAGGGAGAGTAGTTAACATTCTGTGAAGTTTTCCTGAGCGCATAGCGAGGAAGGTAAACGACAATGTGCATTTCAACCCATCGGGTTTATGAAAATAAGTCAAAACGTTGGCTGACAGAACATTTCAGTTGAGCTGAAGAGGATTTAAGAGTACAACCAGCAAGCTTGACATGTCAATGCTCAAACCAAGGCCCAGATTTACAGAAGCTCTCAGACGTTTGCTTGATGCTCGAATCTGAAGCGGTGCTGAAAAGTTGGCTTGTGTTCTCATTAGAGTATTCATGCAGCATGTTCAATGTCCCTTCAACAGCCCTATTCTCCAAATCTGAACCTGCAACATTTACCTTTTCCCATCCGTCATTACCAATGCTCTCCTCAGCTCTGTGGCACCATCTTCTGATCTAATGCTGATGACAAGAGCCAAACCTCCTCCACTCAACAGTCTAGTCGCCCCTTGTTGAGTGTGCTGCGATAGTGCAGCTGCCAGGGCAACCCTGACACCGACGAGAGAGGAAAAACGTGAAGCAGCAGCAGCAACGGGGTGATCTACAGAAAAGAGGCGAAGGAGAGAGGATGAAAAGATGAGACGGGGATGAGACGGCGACACTCAGTCTAAACCTGAAGGAAATCAGATTTGCAAAGATCTGAAGACACAGCAAGATGCACACACACACATGCACAGAGTGGCTCTCTGCTGTTGGTTAATCAGCTCTTGGCCTTGCCTCTCTGGGATTAGGATGCCGCTGGGAGTCCCTAAAGAGATCAGCCCTACACATGTCTCAAAGAGAGCCGCAGGATTTTTAGATCAGGGTTGATCAAAGCTTCTTCGAATGTGGTCAGTTTCTGCTCTATTAATCCTGCTCCATTTTCTAACATTTGGTCATTTATGATCATTTGCACTTAAAATGTGGAAGAGTTGCATCCATGTATCAGCACTAGCTGTCAGTACTTAAGACACAAACTGTCAGATTTAAAATTACAGGTTTTAAGATCAGAAATAAAAAAAAATCATCTGATTTCACTTAGAAATGGCAAAAAGCCTTAGAAACTCAAACTGCCCCTTTGCTACATCGAGATTGTAATAAGTTGCTCAAACAAATCCGACTAATTTTGGTTAAGAAAGTTACTGTATTAGTTATACTGAGAAAGAAATAAACACATTTAAACCAGACTATATGCTCCCTTCACTGTGGAAGGATCTTGTTTCTCCTAATTCATTTTTCTCCCACTTCAGGTGCAAGACAAGACATTGATGACATAACGTCAGAGATTGATTTTCACATTGCAACTAGACACCTACTGGTCAATCTAATCATGCACAGGATGAACATAATTTCACTGCAGCTCCACCAATCACTGAAGGGTTATCTCGCATTTCAACAAACCCATAAGAGCAGGATTAATGTGTCTGAAATAAAAGCTGAGATTTTACCGCTTTTCTCAGGATGATGAAACTTAAAAAAAAAAAAAAACACACAGCTACTGTTAGTATGTGTGAAATAAAATTCACAAAAATAACTACATATTCAAACAAACATCCTATTTTACTTCAATAAATATTTATAAAGGTTATGCATCTTCACATTCTTTCATACCATATGTGTCCTTCAGATAAATTCACATGGGATGTTATTCTTAACAAAACTACTTTAAATAAACCTACCCAATAAGGAAGAAAAAGTTAAAAACAGCACTACTGTTTCGTCACATTTATGAACATTCTGAGGGAGAAGACGTGAACAAATAATGTTCAGTGCATCACCCAACATCTATAACCTTCACAGGCAAAGATTTTTGAAAATACTGGAGGTTCACACCAACAGACTGGTCCAAAAAGAAAACCAGAAGATTATGCAGATGTACAGCATCAAACGACTGACAACAACCACCCACCAACCCAAAAGTGAGAATAATTTCTACAGAGTTGAATCTATTCTTCGTTATGTTGAAAGGTTGGACCATGCATTTCAGGTTGTGAAGATTTTACTACCATCTGTGATATAAAAATGTTTATTTCTTAATTTATTACACAATTTTCTTATGATAAAAATCATGTAAGCCTCAGACTGATGGATCGACTATAATGTTTTACTAATTTTCAGCAAAGGGGCAGTTTGATTCTGCAACAACTGCAGTTTTACACTTGATTTAAATCTTCATGGCTGTGCAGCATGATCAGCTATTGATGGGTTATGACAATAGTAGAAAGATCACTTACATTATTACTAACATCTTACCAACTAATCACACTATAATATAGCAGGAGCACTTTTTAAAATAAAAAACAAATCCTGACAAGAGTTGCCCTTCTTTGTTTCAGTAAAAATGTGACTTGCTGGACTTCCCCCTGTGAAGACATGCCATCCTGTTCTAATGGAACCGTTTGTGGCATCTGGATTCATCTTTTATGTCAAGTCTTCAAAGCCAAATCCACCCTGCAGGTGTGAGCATAGGATGTTGATACGTTGAAAACAACTGTGGCTTTGCCAAAATACACACAGCTTGAAGCGAGAAAGGATGGGTTGTATCATGACTGTAATCTCGCAAATCTTGGGAAATTCTCTCCGCTTGTCAATAGTTTTTTTTCTCTCTCCTCTCCTTATGCACAAATTCCTAGAAAGAGTGTGAAACTAAGAAGCAAAGACAATAAATTATTTAAGATTAGACAGCTGGGTTGTGCAGATCATCTTGTTTTACAGTTTGAAAACAACAAACAGTTTTTGTCTCTTTTTGTCCCACAGACATCTGAGGAAAGGACATGTTAAAGCGAACCACGTGTGTGAGCCGTCTGCTGGCTCAGTGATGTGGGTCAAGTTCAGACAAGTTAACCTGGGACTTTCTCCATCTCTGCACCAGTACAGGAGACCATCTGGCAGATTACTTCACTGGTTTTTAACAGCTAAACTTAAAGCGGAGCTGGCAGCCTCCCCACTATGACGCTACAGACTTCCTAATGTTCTTTGAAAAGCTGATTCACCAATTAATTATTTGAGCTGGTGGAGTCAGGCAGAATGTAAAGTTCTGTTTAGCTCACAACCTGAGAAGGTAACGAGTAGAAAAATAAATCTGGGGTTGAGATCTAATTAAAGCAAATTGGTTTATTATTAATATTTAGACTTAGATATGAAGTGAAAGCAGTTGAGTGGTCAGATGTTGACTTTTAAGATGCTTTGCTCAACTTATCAGTAGAGGGTTTCCACCGGGCTTTTGTCCGGGGCTGGCCCTGCTTTTTAGGGTCCTGCTTCGGAGCAGGGCCAGCCGGACCGGCCCTGGTTTGGTGGGTGACGCAGCTTCGCTGCTGTTCACTGATTGGCTGAGGGCGTGGACAAGACGGAGCAGCGGAGAGAGAAGAAAAATGAAGGCGCAACGTTTGAAACTCGCTGCAACACGGAAGTGATGGAAGATACAAACAAGCCGTTAACTAAAAAAAGATGCCGGCTTTTTTCTTTGCTTCGGATTTCATTATTCAGTGGAATGAGTCGTTTTTGTCAGTAGTGGAGCGAATGTAAAGCCTCGTTAGCCGCTTCGGAGCCGACGGAGCCCCACGGTGAACACCGACGCAGACGCAGCTGCTGCTCCCCAGCCAGGTGAGCAGTTTGGAGATATATCTGTCTGGTTTGTACTACATTTAAGGTTGCATACATACAGTCATGGAAGACATTTGAAACACAAAGTCTGCTGTATTTTTATTGCTCAAACACAACATGCGCATTTTCTGAAGACACTCGGTTGCACGTTACAGTTATAAATAACTAAATGTTGTACAGCATTTTACCTTCGCTTGTTTCTTTGCGTGAATCTACGTGTTTCGATTGTTTCTCATTTTGCTGTTGCATCGAGTTTCACCTGTTGCGAGATAATAAAACATATTATATGACATCCTATTATTGTAAAATGGCTAGATATCAGTTCTCTAATCAGATTATGAATTAGTAATTGTAGAATGTGCAATAAACCTGAAGAAAACGATGGTGGTATTTTATCCATGGCTGTATGCATGCATAGGTCTAAAACTTACAAGTAATTACATTTTGTCTTTAATTTACACTATTCCAGTTATTTATAATTCTGTATGGTTGGCTGGTAAAAAAAGTGTTTGCATGTATATATATAAAGTAACATGTCTGTTTTAAATAATTCCTTATGTGTATGTAACTTCCACATTAGTAACTGTTATTTATCTACATTTATGTGCTATAAGCTATAACATCTGATTACTTTTCCCAGGGAGCAGAAGGAGAGCAACATGGCTGACATGATGGAGAACGATGAGGAGAACCATCAGAACAACAGGATCTCCTTCAGGAGGAAGCAGCTACCAGCAGATATGGCAGAGCTCCATGGAGAGTTGAGACAAACAGAAAAATAAAAGTTGTTGTGTCTCAGTGAACAAAGTCTCTATTTCTGCTCACTCCACACATTATTGTATATACTGTAGTTTATATGGCATCAAACTCCTAATACAATCCTCCCAAGATGTGAGGAGCTTTAGCCATAGTGAAAACATTATATTATATTGACACATTGACACTTAACATTGTAGATTACCAATGAAGCCATCCGAAACTGAATACGTTATTCAGCAAACCAAACATTTTGACATTATTATCAGGGTTGCTATTAACA